AGAACATATTATTTAAATTAGTTTCGTTTTAATTATTTTTTATAAAATTTATTATTCATGTATTCACATATTTACTACTGTCAACCATTATTTTATTACTTTTCTATCACATTATCGATAATTGATGCATAGCTCATGCGTGCACAAGATACATTTATTAAATGAGCCATTTCTATAGAGTTTGTACGTTTAGGCACTATAAACAATAGAGTTGGATCATCAATTTTTCACTTCTTTTAATTAATGATGTCTATTTTAGCCATAACATTAACATGTCAATTAATATATTTTTCCCGCTAACATGCTATACTAATATAAATTTGAATTTAGAATATATATTTATTTATCGATATAAAAAAATAAAAAATAAAACTTGTATTTATTCTTGTTCATCATATAATACTCAATTATTATTTTATTAAATATTTATTATCATATAATGTCATTATTATTATTTATAAAACTTGAAGAAGTAGTCTTCTTCTTGTTAGTTATGTAATAAAATTTTAAATAAAATTTTGTGTATAAATGTTTATAAAATATATAGACATGTTTTCTAGAAATTAATTTTCTCTCAATTATTTAAAATTTTGAGTAACCAATAATAATAAACCCTTACATAATCAAGAGATTTTTTAATTTGCATTATAAAGCTTTATAGTTTATTTAGTATACTATAAAAATATAAGTATTACACTAAATTCATTATGGGAACTAATAAAAAAAAAAAGAACTGATAAAAAGTTATCATGGTTGACGAAAATATACGAATAATCATATGTTGAAATTGTAAAAAAATACTTAATATATTTTAATTTTATTATCTAGTCATTAGTAAAATTATTAATGATGTGATAATACTCTTAAAAGGTAAATTGTTTTAATCTGAAAAATTATTTGTTTTTACATGTTACGATTGCTTATAATTCTCCAACTTGATTTTGTCTAATCTATCTATATATTAAAAGAATAACCTTTTAAGGATTACCGCCCATTTTTCCCGCCAATATATGTATATATAATCACCCTCCAATATATGTATATATAATCACCCTCCAATATATGTATATATAATCACCCGCCAATTGTCTTTCATTAACAGTGTCTAAAACTTACCAATTGTCTTTCCTGTTTTCTTGGTACATATAGTAGTCAACGACTGATTTATTGGTATTTATTGGGTAGATAGGTAACAAATCGACTGATTTATTGAGTAGAATTTGTTATTCTTTTTCCTGTTTTTTTTGGTATCAAAATAAATATTTGTAATTATTTTTGGTATAAAAACTAATAATTTTCAAATTGTGTGTAATTAAATATTTTTAGATGGAACACCATAAATTCGGTATGATTTTATTAAATTAGACTTATAATATTTTAGATACTTGAAACAAATTGTTTAGACATTTTTTTTACATATTCGTCTATATATATATATATACATATACACATACACATAATTGATGTTAAATTTAAATATATGTAGACATGTTTTATTTACAAAATAGTCTAGAATTTTTTTTTTTTTACACAATGTTAAATTCAAATGTTTTTAGATATGTTTTTCTTCTAAAATTATTTAGAAAAGTTGTAGGTGATTTCACATCTTTCAAAAATAATATAGAAAAAAAAATGAATACTATTACATATACTAATATAATATTTTAGGTGTTCTTAATATTATACATACAAATTTTATATTCTCTTACACAAAATGTAAATTTTATATTTTATTATACAAAATAATTTACATTGTTTGACCTCGAATCCATAATTTATATTTATTAAGTATTGTTTTTTCTCCTCTTTAATTTATAATTATTATTTTTTTCTTCCTCTTTTTAAATAAGATCAATAGTAATTTCCACTTCCGCTATTGAGTGTCTCAAACTCGAGATTTATTTATAATATTGTTAATTTAATATTGTTCCCGTGCTTCGCACGGGGTGTACACTAGTTAGTTACAAGGAGAAAAATATTTAACATGTTACGATTGTTTATAAATATTTTAGGATGAAAGTCAACATTTGTGAAAAAAAATAATAATATGATTAAGACTTAAAATCTGTTTTCATGTTTACGTTGGCCAAAATATTATCAACATGAATCACGGAAATCAAATTAAAGTTTATTATAATGGATATCAAAAATATTATTGCAAATGTTAATAAAATTATTAAAGAAAATAAATGTTTTGATCATATCTGATTTAAAAATGTGTATATAAAAGCAATTAATGCATATATTTAAAAAAATTCCAAATAAGGTACGTATAATTAAATGCTCCCATATTTTCTTGCTACTATTTTTTTTTTAAATCGAATAAATCACTCGAAATTGAACATATTTTTGAACGTATAATATAGATGTTATTGATTCATATCAACCATAAAAAAAGAGCTAAAGTGAACACCAGACATATTTTCAGATTTTTGAACTGGTTTTCCATAAGTGGTAAAGTCAGAGGTTTGACACATTTTTTTCAACTTTCCATAAATGATTTTTTCGTCAACCTTTTTCAATATATATAGATTATTTTTGTTATCACTTCATTTCTCATCATAAACCACTATTTATAAACCAAAAAAAAAAAAAAAATCCTATAAAACCATATTCACTCACATTCAATAATCCAATCATCATAACAAATTATGATGAATCTTGAAAACAAATTTAGAATTAATAGAACCAAATGTCCATAACAATATTCTCTCTTTTCATGTCTCAATGAGGCAATCCACTTATTCAATCCTTGACCAAATGTTGTTCTTGATTTCTTCAATATGAAAAATAAAAGGTATATATAAGGCCACAAATTGGGGTGAAGTGAACCCACATCCTCTCTAAAACTTAACTATCTAACTTGTTCCCAAATTATTAGTTCTCCAAAAATGACATTCCACATAGTATTTCCCATCCTTTTGTGCTCTTTTGCATTGCCACAAGCAAATGCTTATGCAATAGATAACAATTTTAACACATACTATTCATATCTTTGGGGAGGTGACCACTTCACAGTTAATCCCCAAGGAACACTAGCCCAACTTAAATTTGACAGTGCCACAGGTTATATATAAGCAAACTAATAGAGAAAAAAAAAAAAAAAAAAAAATCACATTAATGCTTTTATATATATACTGCAATATCACATTTTAATTGCACAATGTGGTTAAATTTATTATTGATAAGTTCTAAATGTATATATATATTTTTACAGGTGCAGGATTTAAGTCGAAGTCAGATTACGGGTCGGGTTTGTTCCATATGAAGATGAAAATTCCGGCTAATCGAACACAAGGAGTTATTACAAGCTTCTACGTAAGGATCTAAGATAAATCTATAGAAAAATGCTACAAGTACATAATAAATGTACATATGGATGTACATAACACTCACATAGAGTAGGATCCACTTGATTTTTTTTATTTTTGGTGGGTCCCACTCGATGTGAGTGTTATGTCAAATCTATATATCATAATGCCGGGTTCTAATAAAAGAAAAANNNNAAAAAAAAAAAAAAAAAAAAACAGTAACGAACTTGTCACGATACCCAACAAACTACGTAAATTGTAAATAAAATTTTCATTAAACTTATAAATAAATAAAAAATATCACCTCACAATGTGACGTGATATTTTATTTCAACATATTTATACTTATATTATATTTATATTTATATTGTTTATGTTGGGTTATTAACAGTTGACCGAGGTCCAAGTTGGTCAGAGCGCATATGAAAATCATTTTGAGGTAGACTTTGAGTTTATTGGCACCGATGGGTCTGTGTCTACCAATATATTTGCCAATGACAAAGGTTATAGAGAACAAGTCTTCAAACTATGGTTCAATCCATCCCAAGATTTTCACAGTTATGACATCCTTTGGAACAGCCACCAAATAGTGTAAGAATTTATCGAAAAGTACGTGTATAAGTACGAAAACTAATGCCAAATGTTAACGATCGTGCTCGAATTTTATATAGTTTCATCGTGGACAATATTCCGCTACGAGTGTTCAAGAACAACGCGGCACAAGGGGTAGCCTTTCCATCTTCACCGATGCACATTGAGGCGAGCATATGGCACGCGGATTGGGCCGGGCAGGTGGATTGGAGTGGGTCGCCTTTCATTGCTTCGTATTCGGATTTCGGGTTCTACGCTTGCGCAGGGGATGATATGTCGAAATGCGGCTCGCCACGGTACTTTTGGAACGGTCCGAAATATTTGGAGCTAAATGCTGCCCAGAAACAGCAAATGGCTGAGTACAGGAGAAAGTACATGATCTATGACTATTGTACTAACCCAAACTTAAGGAAGAAAGAATGTGATTGGAATTAGTGTTAAGAGTGTGATGTATTGCCCAAAAAAAAAGTCATTAATAAAATTGATCTATATTATAATAATTTGTTAATTCATATAATTTAATAGACTTGATATATAAATTTATCAATCTCTAATTACACTTGATACATAATTTATATAAAGGCAAATATAATTATATTTAAAATTACATATGCAATAAAATTTATCATATTGAAAATCATCAAAATGTATATATCATAAATAAATTGATAACAAATAAAAAAGAATATAAAATTTTACATATGATTTTAAGTTAAAATGTGTTTTATAAATTTAAGCTCATTAAATAAGTTTTTTTTATTAAAATTAGTTAGTTATTTTTTTATGCCAATTTGCAGCTAAAGGACAAACAAAAGACGGCTTCACCTCCAAATTTAGTAACCAAATTCACACACGTGATCAAAATCAACTCCTTTCATTTTTCTCTAAACAGAACCTTCGTAGAAAATCCCATATATTATATATAATTAATTAATCCCTCCAATTTTGAATTCTAATCATAACAACAACGAAAATAAATAAACAAATACATAAATAAATAAAGATAATTAAACAAATACATAAATAAATAAAGATAAAATGACAAAAATTTACACTTGCAATTTTTTATTTTATTTTTTTTACCCATTATTTCATCCAAATGCAATGAATTAAACGAACCCCATTCTTTTATATATATAAGTGATCAGCATCTCAATTTTGCATGTAATAAATTAACCCAAAATAAATAAATAAATTACTAGCTACAGTTGTGAAAATGTTCGAATCCGACGACGACGTAGCCCTTCTCGAAGCCATCCGAGCATATTTGCTCGACGATTCCACGTCGCCGCCACCACCGGAAATAATGTTCGAGAACCCGCCGCCGGCCGACCCTCCACGGGAAACGGAGGCGGACGCCAGGTGGCGACGGTACAGAGGGGTGAGACGGCGCCCCTGGGGGAGATTCGCGGCGGAGATAAGGGATCCGGCGAGGAACGGGTCCCGCGTGTGGCTCGGGACGTACGAGACGGCCGAGGACGCGGCCCGGGCGTACGACAGAGCAGCGTACGGGATGAGGGGGGCCCGAGCGCTGCTGAATTTCCCGCTGAGGATAAATTCCGGCGAGCCGGCGCCGGTCAGGGTCACGGCGAGGAGGCCGGCAGCCACGAGTGGGTCGGGGAAGAGGGGAAGGGCGGGCCGGCGTGAGTTGGGGAGGATCGAATGAGTGTGAAATTGGGGTTTGTGTGCTGTTGGAAATTGGAATAATTTGTAACTTTTTTAATTAATTTATTCAAGATTCCAAAATCTATATAATAAAAATGTTTGTATTTAGTACTACCTCCTATTTTTAATATATATCATTTTGAGAAGTTGCACACTAATTAAGAATATTTTTTTGTCAATAATAACCTTATTTAAGGAAGATAGAGATGAATATTTTGAGAAAAAAAGTAAAGAGTGAATATGAAAAGACGTAATGTATTTATTGGCTAAATGAGGTAATAATGGAAAAATATATACAAAAGATCCAAAACGACATTTATTTGACAAATAGTTGAAAAAGCTAGAATGACATTTAAAAAAAATAGGAGGGAGTATTTACTAGAAAAAATATGTATTTTTTGTAAAAAAAAAATGTTTATTTTTTATTTTTTAACGAAACTATAGATATTATTATAACTCAAAGAGAATATACAAAGTACAAGCATGTTTGTTCCATTTTTGTTGCATTTTCCGTATTTATTTTATCTTTCTTTTTCCCGCGTTTTAGGTCTTTTACTTGATTTTTAGTTCGTTCTGTAGTTTATTTCGTGGTTTGCTCTATTTTGGTCTTTCTTGTGTTTCTCGTGTGTTTTTTCGGTTTTCTTTCATTTTTGGCGTGCAAGTCAGAATACCTAGGAGGAATAGATTTAGCCCGAAATTGACCAGGCAATCATGATTGTGTAGACGGGTTCGTTGGCGACATATAGAAATCTATGTTACATGGACTCCGGTACGTGTGTCGGATACGGGTACATGTTTAAGTATTTGGTATTTATATTTTTAAAAATTAAGATACGAGGACACGTATCCAAACTTGGACACGGGTACGTGGACACGTATGAGTAGTAATTATTATTTTTTGCCTACATACATACACATTTAAAATTTAGGCTTAATTAAATATAAAGCGCATTTATGTATGTATATGTAGCATTAACGTGCTTATGGACTGATGCACATTCAATTCACGTACAACTAACCTAAAATTTTTGGATTTGAGCTTCATTATAATATATAAGCCCATTAACCTGCCCATGTAAATTCAATTCACAATTTCACATACAATTAACCTAGATGTCAACAGCCGTCCACGAGTTCCAACTCTCGTTAGTGAAACGCGTTTCACTTTTTTAAAAAAAAAAAATCGAAATTCACTGTTCCTCTTCTCCGACCTTTCAACTTCAGATCAATTGCTGCCCTTCCAATTTCAGATTCGATCTTGCCCTTAACTTCAGACGCCTGTCGCCTTTCAAATTGGTTACAATTTCGACCGTCGAGCTTCGACCTTCTACCCGCCCCGATAGTCAACGTATCCAGCCTCTTTTGACCGGATCGGAGCCGAATTTCATACCGGTACCCGTGTCGTGTCGTGTCGACACGGGTACGCCAGCGGTAGGTGCCGAGTACGGGTAACATAGATAGGAATAAACGAAACTCAATTCCGAGGTCGGACAAGCTCAAACGAGCCAAAACGCAAAGTCGCCTAAAACACGTTTTTGGTGTGAAGGTCATAAGCTTTGAGAGATTAGGATTTCAGGAATATATTTGATGGGAAAGCATAATTGACTAGAAGGGTTCGTTGGTGACGCGTAGGAAAAAACGACACCTAATTTCGAGTTCAAACGAGGCCGAAACGTAAAGTCGCGCGCAGCTGTCCAGTTTTCTTCACCGCGGCCTCGGGAGTAATCCCACGGCTGCGGAGCACCTCTGAAGCTGAAATCCCGCGGCCTCGGAGCTTCCCGCGGCCGCGGAAGTCGCGACCAGAATTTTATAAACTTGATTTTGTTCGTTTTTTCGAGTACTTGGCATTGAGGCTCGTTCCCAGACCTAAAATAACATCCCTAAACTCGTTTTTCTTGAATGGTTCTCTCTAGAACTTGAATCTTACACTTGGATTTCATTAATTTTGTCTATATTTTAGGATTAAGCTTGTGCTTGGGATTCAACACTCGATTTCTTTATCAATTGTAAGTTTTCTTTTTCATCTAAACCATGGATATGAATGTTTGGATTGTTGTGAATGTTTTTGTTGAATTCCATATGAGTAGTTAATCCAATTAGCCAGGGATAGGGGATGATATTTTGAATTCGTTTGTGATTATTGTGTTTGATGATTATTCAAATTATGCGAATTGATTTCAAATATCATGCTTGAATGTTGAATATTGTTGAAGAGTGACACTTCAATTTGCGATTGATTTTCAATTGAATATGATTCATTCGGGTTTGATGTTGTTAATTCTAAAAGATTAGTCGACTAATTCGTGTCTAGTCTAATTTAATCAACTTTTAGAACCGAAAGGGGAGGAGTTGATGGATCTAGGCTCGCATAAAATAGGCTTGTTCGTAAAAGTATTGCCTATGTGTTAAATGACTCGTGTAGGTTATTCGAATATTTTAACTGAACGATCGCTTGCCCGATAATTGTATTTCGAACTAAAATATTTATCCACAAATCCCTAGGGCTCTTTATCATAGTTTGATTCATGTTTTTTGAGTTTATTTATGTTTATGCATTTTCTGTTATTTTCTAGTTGGTAGTTCAAACCCCAATATGATTAGAGTGTTTAGGATTTATTTTTCTTTTTTATGTGTGATCGACCAAAATTGAATTCTGAACCGCCTTTCTCGAAAGATCGACCTGGGGAATGAATCTTTCGATTCGGTATTCAGAAAAAAATAACAATTTATGCTACAACAAAACACATAGGCTAAGAAGCCCTAACAACCCACAACAAATGGGTTGTATGCCTTTAAAGTAAATTAATTCCGAGTAAACATAACCTAAAATTTGTTCTTTACATATATCTTATTTTATTTTTATCTTCCTTGATAAATTAGTTTTAGTTTCATATCTTATCTTACAATCATTGTTCAAATTCAATAATCTAGACATTTAATTATCATTATTTAGTATTCAATTAATTCAAATTCTCGACACTTGCGAATACGAAAGTAATTAGCGAAAGCTTTGTAATTATACACTATTTGTCGGTTTTACTTTGAAGCCTACAGTTGGCTCTATAATGGAGTCAATCTTCTATATACAGCAAATAAACCTTCATTAGTAATAAAATTAAATTAATGTTATTTAATTAATAAAAAAATATAGTAAATTTATTTGTTGTATATAAAAGATTGATTTCGTAGTGGAACCAACTATAACAAAACCGTATCAGTTGTATGATATAGAGTGGATGTGTTTTTTAAGTATAATATTACAAAAGTAAATTGTTTACAATAACTTAAACCATAAAGTAGATGAGTTTAAAATATAAAGTAGCAAATCGCAGTTTCAGTCACTTAATAAATAATAAACTCGAGAATAAAAATCCCAATTTTTATAATGAGATTGTAGCATATCTGTATACTAAATTAAACACATAAGTATTCCACAACATATATTCTCTCCTTCCACATAATATAAACCATTTTTTTTTTTTTCATTTGTTCTCCATATTCGTCTTCAATATTTAACCGGATTTGAAACCTTCTATTAGTACTCATCCTTAATTTTTTGGCTAAATTGCGCCAAACCCCCCTATATTATACGAAATCTGCGTCTTATCCCCTGTATTTTAAAAAAATGCGTCATACCCTCTTATATTATACTTTTGATTGCGCGTTATCCCCTAAAAATGCGTCATACCCCCTTGTATTATACGAGTTTAGGGGATAACGCGCAATCAAAAGTATAATACAAGGGGGTATGACGCATTTTTTAAAATACAAGGGATAAGGCGCAGATTTCGTATAATACAGGGGGTTTGGCGCAATTTACCCTTAATTTTTTCCATCGAAAAATTAAAGAAGTCACGGACACGTGTCCGCCGCGAAAAAACTGCTGTCACGCCAAACCTGCACCGGATCAACACGTGTCCATCCTCACGTGGCACCGCCATGCACGGTACACCCCCCTCACCTAACCGCATTATAAAACACACCCAAAAAGGCCAAAACCCCACCGCCCCAAAATCACTGATTCCACATCTTTCTCATTAATCCCCACTAAAAATTATATGGCCCAGATGCAGCCCCACTACGGCGCCGGAGCGGCCCACCGCCAGAAGGAGTCGCCGCAGCTGTCCCGCCAGGTGGCGAAGACGGCCACTGCCGTCACCCTCGGCGGTTCCCTTATGGTCCTATCCGGCCTGACCATGGCGGCCACCGTCGTCGGGCTCGCGCTGGCCACGCCGCTGCTGGTCATATTCAGCCCCGTCCTCGTCCCTGCCGCCGTGACCCTGTTCCTGATTCTAGCCGGGCTGGCGGCCTCGGGAGGGTTCGGGGCCATGGCCAGCTTCGTGTTGTACTGGATGTACAGGTACACCACCGGGAAGCACCCGATTGGGTCGGAGCAGGTGGACCGGGCGCGGGAGAAGCTGACCCACGCGGCGCACGAAGTCAAGGAGAAGGCCGAGCAGCACATTGGCGGCGGCGTCGGCGGCGCCCGGGGAACTTGAATTGGTTTTGTGTGTGTGTGTGTGTGTGTGAAATGAAAAGAAAAATAAATGGGATTTAATGGTGGGCTTATTAGTAATCATGTGTGTGTGTGGGTACGCTGTTGTATGTGTGTGTGTGCACTCTGTTGTATGTGTGTGTGTGTGTGTGTCATTTTGATTTTGAGGATTTTGTGCTCTTTAACTTGTGCAAGAAAGAAGGCTGATCATGGATATGTATTATGTTTTGATATGTATTATGTTATTTTAATTTACAAAATTATTTATATTTTTAAACATTATTTTTATATAATAAAATTAGTATAAAAAAAATTTTGTTGATTAAATTTTTTAGCTAATTTAAAACATTCAAAATAACTTATGATCTTTATCCCATATTAATATCTAGTCTTGACCTTTTCATAAACTGAAACTAAAACCATGAACAAGTCCAACGTACACTAATGGATCGGGGATCAAGAAATCGCCGACACGTTATTCAATTTCCAGTTTTGAATATAAACCGTGAATTCTTCAAATTCTAGGGAAATGCTATGGTTTTCATGTATTTTAATCGTTAGATCATTTAATTTATACTAACTACATGTGCATCCAACGGTTATAACTCTCGACGATATATTTCTGTGTTTTAACCGTTAGATCATCTATCTTATACTAACTATATGTGCATCCAACAGTTATAACTCCTGACGAGATGCTTCCGTAACGTGAAACATTTTCTCAAATTCTATTGCACATAAACCACCGCTAACCTTAGGCCATCAATTTTGTGCAAGGAACTTCATGTAGATTCAGAAGTAAATTTCGAGAAAGAAACGACTCCCACTTGAGAATCAACATAATGCAAGTAACATACCTACTTTAGAACATTCCGAAGTTGAACTTGAAGGCATAAAGTGAAAAATAAAAAAACCTGGGCAAAATCTGTTAGGAATGTCCGAAAACATAGCATGAACACATTCATGATCCCGAACCTCCATCTTTCTTCGAGATAGCCATGACGTTGAAGTTGATTGAATCAGGATTTTTCTGGATGATCTTTTGAATGACTTTAGCAGCATCCTGTCGTGCAGGCGGAGAGAGAGAGAGTACTTAGACAAATTGATCGTGAAGCGAAACCGCAAAAGACCACTAGCACAACGCGGAACAGTTTTGAATTCATTAAGGTAAAGAGCAAAAAAATCACATGTAATAAGGTGTCTGGAGAAGATGCACCGTGAGTGATTGGTCCGGCCCTCCTTCCATCGAGCTCATATAGTTGCCCTGCAAAATCCATGCAAAGGGCTTAAATTATACAGTTGCTAATTTTCCTACATAAGTACCCCATATCTCATTCTCACTGCATAATGATTGAACAATGTTTTCAGATACGACACACACTTGATGAAAAGATACGAAGATTTTGTTCATACTTTCAAGTTCATGCTTCAACAGGGAGAAAAAAGGACTCACCATTAACACATGTAAAGCAGATGAAATGAGTGTTTACATTATCTGATACCTGTCAACACAAAGGTGCACGAGAAATCTTTGCATGAATAATTCAGGCATGGATGTCATGTTATAACATATAAAATAAAAATATACTATTCATAAGTTAATGTTTTAGGAAGTTTCTAGCCAGCAAATGAAGTTATTTAGGAGACATATACCATGGATTTCTGACTAAAAGATTTACTCCTTTCCTTTCGACTATCTCAACGATCTCTTTATACTATTTTGCAGTAGACAGTTACATTTCTATCTAAAACAATTCCCTCCGGAGCCCAATAACAATCAACACAACACGTCCCGTATGGTTCAGAAAGAATAAATGAACGTGAAAATGCATTTCAAAAAGTGTCGAACATCCTGGTTAGATTGTTCGACGAAATAATTTGTAATTAACTCGAAATAGTGAGTGCAAGAATGAAGGAGAAAGAAAAAAGGCTAAGAATTAGAAAATCCATTTTGAGTGTTATAATTCCAAAGGCAAACTGCATAAGCTTTGGAAAAATGTCGTATAGCAAATTCAAATATATATGTAAGAAAACTCTCTCTCACATATTTTATGTTATATTTAACGCCCATTTGATATATTTTTCATTTTCTAATATAGCTAAGCACAAGAAGCATAGAAACTGAAAGCAAAAATATTGAGAAATGAGATAAGTAATATAACTATAAATATATATAAAAATGAATGTGAAATATAAATATCATTCAAATGTCGAAATCTGACCTCTGTATCACCACCTGTAGCTGCAACAGAGTGAGCAGCTTCCATTTCGTTATCATTTTCAAGAAATGAGGCACGCTGCAAAATGACTCCATAGAGAAATTGTTACATTGAGGCAAGAGAAAAGGTACACAAATAGCAAGGTGGCCAAATATAATTTGATTAAATAAAAATGTGAAAAGAATATCAGACCTGACCTCTGATGGATTCATATGTGCAGTCGTCTTAAAGAAATTGTCCAAATAAGAACCCTCAACTGAAAGAGAATACACAAAAAAAAAGGCAGATAACTACCCAAACACGATGGATCGAAGCTGCAAAAAATTTACCGAGAGCATACGAGAATAAGAAGATGAATCACATTTTTTCAGAAGGAAATTAAATCTAAAGTTTTACCATGTTTTATCCTGGAAGTGATATTTCCAACAGCATGAAGAAAACCAATGGTTCCACAGGCATTTCCAACAGTTTGCTTCATAAAGTAAACCCCACTGTCTGGCTCCTGTATGTATATGCATAAAATCATGAATTGCCAATAGCTACTCGATTAAACGGTAGAGAGAAGGAAATAAACGATAAACGAAGTATGACAGCCTTTTACTCGATATTCTTTAAACTTAAGTGGGATATTCGCGTACTTGTGTGCAAGCTAAACGGAACAACAAAACCGATCTAATTTACAACACAAACCAAACTGCACATGAAGACTCACTGGTATATCATATTTATTGATTATGTGAAATACAACAGGAATTAAGCCAGCATTTGACTTGATGCAAGCTGAAAACACTAGAATTTCCCATCATTCAGACCTAAAACAACATGGGTAGAACATGCATATAACTAAGGTACAGGTAGCACGAGCATAATATCGCGTGAATAATTCAAGATCATAAACTCAAAATAGATACAGTTCCTCTCCAATAATCATTTCGTGCAGATCATAAAGCCAGAGGTACAATCTCTTCAACAACACATTACTTGTGTAGATGAACCAAAATCAAACTCCAAAGTACAGAAAACGAAAGTCAAAACCGAACTCCTCAAATGCTATCATCCCAAATACAGCATTAGGCAAAAACTAAGCATGGTGGATGCAAAATTCATTTAAGCACCTGCAAACATTTCTTATGCTAGCCATGTGTCATAACCAAAGTCTTAAGTCCCAAATGAAGAAATTCTACAGGTGACAGCAAGTATGCATCAACTTGACAGAACTCGAAAGATGTGAGGTCCTAATACTTCTAAAGTTTACTAATCATGTGTATCTAATAACCAGAAAGAGCAAAATGCAGGCCCTATTAATCTTAACTTACCTTTATTGCACTATCTCGTTGAATTCTCTCTTCTTCACTCTGTGAAAGCAAGAATCGTCACATGACGAGGCGCAAAACAAAACAATACCATCACGGGAACTACAAAATGTCCCAAAAAATGTTGTGGTTGCCTTTACATCAAAAAAATATCTACTGAGTAGATATAAATTCATAAGCTCAAAATTCCAAAACATTACCACACACACACACACACAATGAGGACTTTGGTGATTTCAAAAGAACTTTCTCCAGTACTCCAAAACTGTAACTTCAGAACGAGTGATTCCACAAACAAAACAAATGCCAGCAGCAGAATGAAGATAACATTTCGACAGATAAATTACCTGTGAAGTCAAGGGATAGAGGAACAGGACAGCAAGCACAGGTTTTGGAACCATTTCCAACAATTCGCCATCGAGCCCATAAACATCGAAGAACTCGGCCTCGTCTGGCACAACACCGAGTCCCCAAATAAACTGTTCATCACAAGCTAATGTTGTTAAACAAACAACTAAGAAACCCCAGTTCTTTGTTCTCACATCTTTTTTCTGCATTTTTTTTTTTTAATTTTTGCGTTCTTGTGGCATTCAGTAACACGATTAATCCTTCAAAAGCCCAAGTTAACGAATGAAAGAATTCAACTGAATAATGGAACTCGCAGAGCAACTCAAAATCCCAAAAGAAACGCGGCGAACAATGGAGTAAACTTGGGGTTCAGAGAAAATATAATGAGAAGAAATCATCAATGGAACCGAACCTGGTTCATGACGTCGGGGTTAGCTTCAAGGGGAAGCCATCTTTATCAGCAGAACTGTTCGCCATTTTTTCTCTGCTATGATGCGCTTTCTTCTTTTTAGGTTCACTAAAAATTAATAATGGAGCCGATGGAAACTGTAATACGGTAATTTTGTGAAATTGAATGAAAAAAAAAAAAAGCCTTTTATGATTAACTATTATTTTATTGTTTTTTGTACTGCATCAATTTCAATTATTAGCTAATTCAATAATTTAAAATTTAGCTTCCTTTTGGTATGTACAACAACTTCAAGCGGGCTCGAACGATCTGCATTTGGTTTCGTCCGATAGACCTGTAAAACAAGCCAGAAGCGATTCAGGCGTAGAGCCTCTGACGATGAAGACATAAAGTGCATGAAGGAGATAATGAAAAGTAACAATATAGTTTAGTATTTATGTAATAACATGTATAGTGCAAATTGACATATATCACTTCTTTAATAAAGAGTGTTACCTTGTTTTACATGATTGTCTGGATGAGTTGCCCAAGTGTCCTAACTGCCTGTTTGTACTGTTCGGGTACCCGAATTGTCCAATTCTGTTGGGTCACGTGGTCTAATCAACTTGTGATTCTTATCTTAGTTATATTCTTTTTTTATCCATTAGTATGTCATGTTAAACGGTCTAATCGTATGACCAGCTCGACTTCCCTTAAACTAGATTGCCTCTTTGTTGTGCTCGTGCATTCTACCTCTTAGGTCAATCATCAACATGTATTCCTTCATGCCGAGTTTATATCAGGCCATCTGAGGGCCTATCTCGACATGATGTCTAGCCTCCTCACTACTTAGTCACCATCGATCAGATGCTCTGACAACCTAAATTATCTCCGATCGACCTACCGGTTCGTTTAGTTTAGTTAAACCGCTTCTCGGGTCGAATCAACTCGATAGGGAATCCCATAATTGGAACAATCTTCTCGACCTGAGGTTGATCTTCTCGAGGTCAAAATTTGAATCTCTAATATATGACAGTGTCAGGTAAACTTAATGTCTCTTCAGTCAGCATAATCGAGAGCAACAATAGCTTGTGTCGAAATTGACGGGTTTTGATTTTGAGATGTGCTATTGACCCCGACGCCAAAACTCAGTGAAGAAAGCGTTATCCCATCGCATGGATGTGGCCGAACTCTACGTAGTGTCTGGACCAACATGGGCAACTTAGGGCCAATTAAGAGAGGCGAACATCACAAATGCCTTTTGCAATAATGTTCGTCGAATGATGGAGGTGAAAGACGGGACAACTCAACATTATGACGTGTACGACAGACTGCTTCTATTTAAGAGAATTTATTTTTGTACCGGAAGTCGACAAATTAAGAAGGACGATTGTGCAGTACTTTCACGAGTCCGGAATTGAAGGTCATTCTGGTGTTTATCATAGACGAGGGAGTGAATATGTCTATTGGTCGAGACAAAAGAGCGAAGTTTGTGAATTCGTCGTGCAATGTGACGTATGCCAACGGGTAAAATTAGATTCGTGCAAACCTAGTGGACTATTGCAGCCATTGTCGGTACCCAACTGCATATGGGAAAAAGATTTCGATGGACATTATAGTGGGTCTAGCGACGTCCAACGGGTTTAATGGAATAATAGCGATATTGGATCGCCTCGCCAAATATGTACACTTCATTCTGCTGACTCGTTGATGAGGATAGATGAGGATAGTATTATTATTATTATTATTATTATTATTATTATTATTATTATTATTATTATTATTATTATTGTTATTATTATTATTATTATTATTTAATAATTAGTAGCTTGAAGAATAAGCTAGGGTTTAATTTAGGGGCTTTATTTAAAGGGTCTTATGCTTTGTTATTAGGCAGTTGAATTTGAGAATGAAAAATTGATCGTGTTCTTTTGGGAGAGTATCCCAAGTTCGAGAGAGTATCTCGTATTGTATCTTTTCCCTTTTGTTCACGCCTTCCCTACATCAGTTGGTATCAGCAGTCAGTACGATCGCGATGCTGCCGGGACGACAAGATGCCGCATACAAACGAAGTGATGCAACCTTCAACGATCGGTTTCAACAGATCGACTACCAATTTGAACAGTTGGACGTGCGTTTCACAAATTTGTTTGCCGATCTTTTGACCGGGATCGAGGATGCATGTTTGACGCCGACCAACGTGGTTGTTACGGAATGGAAGACGGACCGTGATGGAGGCCGTGACTATCGCGGGGGATACAGAGGCGATCGTGAGGGAAGCAACCATGTCGGGGCGCCCGAGCAGTGGTCCCAACCACCTCTGAACGACAACGACGTTGGCGACTCTACCGGGTCGGCTAACTCGTTTACAGATCCTCTATCTTGGAGGGGGGGCGAAACCCTAGGTCAGCCCCGATTTCGCAACCAGGTCCAGCCTGAGGAGGGTTTTGATGACCAATTTCGGGCCAATCGTGCAACCCTAAGTGGCGATTTTCAGCGGACTGCTTCAGGATTTAGCCACCATCGTGACTTTCGCAGACGGGGGCT